CTGTCTGTCTGTCTGTATGTATGTATGTATGTATGTATGTATGTATGTATGTATGTATACATATAACGGCGCACCGGGTCCGGGGGCCCGGGGCCGGGACCTCGACCGCAAATGTGCACCCCGGGGGGCCCGGAGGCTCGTCGGGGCTTGCCGGAGGCCTCCCCGGTCAGACAAGACGGCCCCAGAAACGCCCAAGACGGCCCAAGAAACTTCCAAGAGGCCTCCAAGAGGGCTCCGAGATGCTGAAGATGGCCTCCAGACGTCCAAGGACGCCCCCCAAGACGCCCCAAGAAGCCTCCAACATGCGTCCCAAGAGGGCCCCTAGACGCAAACATTGGCCCATTCCCTTCGTAAAACGTACATTTTTCACAAAGTTGCCTTTTGGGCTTTCCGACATTACAGGACGGCCCAAGAGGCGCCCAAGACCGCCCCAAGACGGCCCAAGAAGCTCCCAAGAGTGCCCCAGGACAGCCCAAGAGGGCCCCAAGACGGCCCAAGAGGCGCCCAAGATGGCCCAAGAGGGCCCCAAGACGGGCCCAAGAGGGGGCCCAGAGGGGGACCACGAACCGCAAGCTCGAGCCTTCCGCCCCAAGAGGCCGCCAGGAGGCCCCCAGGAGGCCCCTCAAGAGGCCCCGGGAGACCCCAGACGTCCAAGGACGCCCCCAAGAGGCCCCAAGAAGCCTCCAACATGCGTCCCAAGAGGGCCCCTAGACGCAAGAATTGGCCCATTCCCTTCGTAAAACGTACATTTTTAACAAAGTCGCCTTTTGGGCTTTCCGACGTTACAGGACGGCCCAAGAGGCGCCCAAGACCGCCCCAAGACGGCCCAAGAAGTTTCCCAGAGGGCCCCAGGACAGCCCAAGAGGGCCCCAAGACGGCCCAAGAGGCGCCCAAGATGGCCCAAGAGGGCCCCAAGACGGGCCCAAGAGGGGGCCCAGAGGGGGACCACGAACCGCAAGCTCGAGCCTTCCGCCCCAAGAGGCCGCCAGGAGGCCCCCAGGAGGCCCCTCAAGAGGCCCCAGGAGACCCCAGACGTCCAAGGACGCCCCCAAGAGGCCCCAAGAAGCCTCCAACATGCGTCCCAAGAGGGCCCCTAGACGCAAAATTGGCCCATTCCCTTCGTAAAACGTACATTTTCAACAAAGTTGTCTTTTGGGCTTTCCGACGTTACAGGACGGCCCAAGAGGCGCCCAAGACCGCCCCAAGACGGCCCAAGAAGCTTCCAAGAGGGCCCCAGGACAGCCCAAGAGGGCCCCAAGACGGCCCAAGAGGCGCCCAAGATGGCCCAAGAGGGCCCCAAGACGGGCCCAAGAGGGGGCCCAGAGGGGGACCACGAACCGCAAGCTCGAGCCTTCCGCCCCAAGAGGCCGCCAGGAGGCCCCCAGGAGGCTCCTCAAGAGGCCCCAGGAGACCCCAGACGTCCAAGGACGCCCCCAAGACGCCCCAAGAAGCCTCCAACATGCGTCCCAAGAGGGCCCCCAGACGCAAAAGTTGGCCCATTCCCTTTGTAAAACGTACATGTTCAACAAAGTTGTCTTTTGGGCTTTCCGACGTTACAGGACGGCCCAAGAGGCGCCCAAGACCGCCCCAAGACGGCCCAAGAAGCTTCCAAGAGGGCCCCAGGACAGCCCAAGAGGGCCCCAAGACGGCCCAAGAGGCGCCCAAGATGGCCCAAGAGGGCCCCAAGACGGGCCCAAGAGGGGGCCCAGAGGGGGACCACGAACCGCAAGCTCGAGCCTTCCGCCCCAAGAGGCCGCCAGGAGGCCCCCAGGAGGCCCCTCAAGAGGCCCCAGGAGACCCCAGACGTCCAAGGACGCCCCCACGACGCTTCGCGTCACCAATTTCTTCTCACAACGATTCCTGGGTCTGTGACTCGACAGAACCTAAGCGCGCGCGAAGCGCGCGCGTGGTTCTAGTATGTATGTATGTATGTATGTATGCATGTGTGCATGCATGCATGCATGCAAACATGCATGTATGTATGTATGTATGTATGTATGTATGTATGTATGTATGTATGTATGTATGTATGTATGTGTGTGTCTGTCTGTCTGTCCGTCTGTCTGTCTGTCTGTCTGTCTGTCTGTATGTGTGTATGTATGTATGTATGTATGTATACACATATTTCATAACACCTATTTCTTGCCTTTTTTGTTAAACAGTGTTTCTCCCTTTCTCTCTCTGTAGGCCTTTTTGTGCGTACAGAGTAAGGGGCTAAAAGGCGAGGATGAAGGCGGCGTTGCGCTGGACGGCCCCACAATTGCTTGCCAGCTGGGGCACAACTCGCCGCATGGCTCAAGGCGGTGTTCGCTGCTTCGTGCTGGCGGCAAGGGTGGTGAGGCTTACATGGCGTGCTTACCGCGAGCAAGTTCTGCCGACGTTTCAGGCAGGGTACCACAGTTGCACCGCAAACCTTGTGCGCCCATGGGTTTCCCCGTTTTTTTGAGTCCAGTTCTGGGATGGTGATCCCTCACTTGCCGTGCCTTCCCCTCCCCTGCCA